AACCTGGCTTGTTGGTGACATCGTTCTCTATATCACTATATATACGTATATTGAATAACTAGCAAATTTTTGTTTTTTATTTAATATTTTTAAATATATACTAAAAAAAAGAATTTTAACGCCGTTTATATATAATATATTAAAAAATATTTATACTTTTTATATCTTATCCTTATTGGGCAAAATTGAATTTTTGATATATCTTATCCCTATTAACGTTCAATTTTTTTTTTAAATCGCATTATCTAGCAAGCTCGATTTACTTAAAAAAGTCTCCCAAATGTAAAATTTAATGTTTTTTGCTTTTTAATTTTTTTTCGCACAAAAAATATATCTTTTAAACATATTTTATCTTATTCTCCTCTATTAGTTTATTAGATATTAAATAAAACAAAATGCAATTTATTTTCGTAAGATTAAAAACAAAATTGTGATAAAATTTTTAACATTTACAAAAAATTAATTGCACACATATGTACGTAATTGACCATCGTAATTGAATAATTGTAAAGTAAGAAAAATAATTGTAACAAAAGAAATATTTGATATAGAGTTTTTATCAAATACAAATACAATACTATATTCGTAAAATTATGGAATACATTTAACTTTTATTTATTTATTATCTTATTATTATCACTGTTTCGAAACATAAATGAAATATCTTTCGGATTTTTCGGATACCGCACACTATTGTACGAGTTGTAGAATAAAGGTAACTCGATAGCGGAGAATAAAGATTATCGGTAATCAGCAGATGGTAATATTCTTTCAGATCGATGGAAGCACAATGCATCGGAAGAGTGGTGTTGCCAGAGCTTACAAACAGAATTCAAATGGAGCCGACTCGGCGAAAAAGCAGATCTTATCGCAGCGAACTGTCAAGGGTGCATCACCAGATTGCTCCTATCCCTGCCGGCTCCCAACGGCCCCGGTTCATCCCCTTTGACGCCCGACTCAAATTCTACCCCGATATCGCTCTGACGCAAAAGAGCATACGGAGTAACACGTCAATATACTTTTGGAGCTGATGTAATTGCTATTAATACGGGAAGCAATATGAAATGCGAATTCCAACAAATTTTATCTATATTCTTTTATATTATTTTTATATCGTCGAGCCAAAAGAATAATAATAATTGCGAATATTTAATATTAAATACGTCATTAGTTCCAGAAATATTTCATTCTTTCGATGCGACAATTATTTAATTATAAAAATATGTTTGATTTGTTTTTTCGCATTTTAGTGAAAAAAAAAAATACAATAGTAATAAATAAAAATGAAATATAAAGGATAAAATAATTATTTTTACAAACTTTCCACAAAAATTGCTCGTTTTGTGCTCTTCCTATTTCTCTTATTTTCCTTTTTTTTTTCTTTTTTAGATTCCAATTAGATCGAACGCGACGTACCTCGTGTAGAATTTTATGGGATCGCACGTGGCGAAAAAAGTAAGCCGACTGTTTGTGGTAGATTGGCGGGCAACGAGGGTGCTGTTTGCAATCAGGGGATCGAAACAATTCGTGGTGAGAAAGCCTGTTAATGTATCGAAATATAAAATGTGCAATGTAAAAAAAAAGCATGTTCGACGTTGCTAAATTGTGCTTTTG